GACACCAAACTTCACACCTTTAAACAAACACACACACCTTTAAATAGTCAGGGAATAGAAGGGCTGAAAAGGGATATCCCTGCTTAACCCCTTCCACACGAGGCTCACTACTTATCAATCAACCCTCGTATATCATCTATCAACATTATTCAATGTTTATCAGTAATACGCTTTATTTCTTTTTATTAATGCGACTTCCAATAAAAGCGGCCATCATCGGCCAAATTTCAAACATCACACTTGAGTTTGTTACATTCCTAACGAGGACATATCCTAATTCTTACATCAGCTTAGATCAAGGAGACATAAAGGATATTAAACATATCGCGAATTTCATTAGAATATATTTACACATATGTACATATTAGCATACATATTAAATAAATATATGTTATATGTATGAAGTATGCATCATTATACAGTATATGAGTATAGAATTTGGTTACTGACTAAGATTTTATAGTTAATGTAATTTTTATTTGATTCATAGAAGACCAACCCCAATACACAAAAATGTGAAGGAAGAAAAGTGCATATTTAACCTCAATCACCACATTTGTATACAGTCATCATCATCATTTAGGGCCTAGACTGGTGGACAAAAGCTTCAACGTGCTTCTAACAACAAGTCATTGTTATGTTTCTAGAGATCCACTACAATCCATCTGACCCCCACATTTTTTTTATACTTGTGCAATCCAGCTATTGGTTCGACCGACCAAACTTACACTGTACTGACTGCATATTTGTAATATTTAAAAATATTGATCAATACTGTCGAGTGTACAATGTAGCTTATAGTCATTGTAAACGGGCTCTTATAAATACACAGCTGATTGGATTTTACAGACGTGATATGAACAGAGAGAGAAATTCAGAAAAGCTGTGTTTCATTTAATGCTTGAGTGATGCCGAATTCATTGAGAGACTTAGCTTCAGCAAGGCCTCTGCTGATTATATAACAGACTTGATTATAGATAACATCGCATCTGCTTTTATTTTACTAAAACATAGCTTTTGAATCCACGAAAAAAATGTACATTGCTATTGACAGAATCTGTCAAACGTGCCAATTCAGCCATTTTGTTTCAACGTACATGTATGTCGCGACCTTGCCCTTCCCCTGCGAATTGTAAACATTGCATCAAGTCCAACTAATGCAATGCGGTCTGTATTGATACTCAGTTTTTTTCTTATCAAACAACATAAAACATCCTACAAATATAATTCCTATTACTTTAATGAGTGTGCCATCTTGAGGGATAATTATATTATTGTTAAGTGTGGGTAATTTTTTTTTCACATATAGTAGCCTATAGATAAATCTTTTGTTTGCAACTATCATGGATTTTACAATGTCTATAGCATTATAGCAACCAATTGCATTATAGGATTTTTTTCCTTTTTCCGCAGCATTTCTTATGCAGTGGATAACTGTAATGTTGTTTACCCAGCCTTTGTGATACACATATTTATACAGAGGATAAAAATCCAAAGGATAAGAGATTTACAGTATTCAAGAAAGGCAGTGATATTTAACTTCTTAGATAATTGATTTACCATAGACAAAAAAACATGAAGCATATGGCTACAATCATTTTACAGCGGTTCAAATTTACAAGGAATAGAAGAAGTACACTTATGTAAAGTAATAGATAAGTAAATAACAAGGTTACACACACACACACATACACACACACACACACACACACACATATATATATATATATATATTGTGACCATTAACCATGTGCCATGTTAAGTCCCACTGCCGAGTCACTGCTCACAACAGTGGGAGTGTACACTGGCATTTTTCAAGGAATATGCTAAGAGTTACCAATTGGAGCAACCACTTCATTTCTTGTCTTGAATGATTTTGCCATGAAATTAGAGAGGGAGACTAAATTCTCTTTGCAAGGCACTATAAAATACTTTGTATCATTGACTCTCTGGTGACCTTGTATCAGCTTTTATACCGAAAACGAAGTAGATACTCCAGCGCAGTAGACTACTGCAATCATACTGCAAACATGCTTCAAATCTGCTTCGATGTGGGAGCTAATTAGCATATTTGAAACATGCTTCTATCATGCTGCTAATCTACTGCATTAATGCATCTCCTCTGTACAACCCTATGTAATTTTTGAAGTAGAATTGCAGTAGGCTATACTGAATTTCTACTGCAAATATGCCCCACACCACTACTGCGTTAATGCTTCTTTGCTACTTCGAAACTACTGCATTTTCTTGCGGGTAGGGTTAAGATTTTACTAAAAAAAAGTCTGATTTGTAATATTGGGCATTAGAATGGAATTCCTTATTGATCAGATTGTAACAAAGGACGACGGGTGCAGCTCACATTCTTTGCGTAAATCAATAAGGCACGTGCACCATATTGGGAGCATTCACGTAGAGAAGAGCCGAGGTCTAGTAAGGCCGCGACCTAAATATGGCGGACCTACATGAAAGGAAGATCGCTAACCCTGTAATGTCCGCCTCTCAAACGCCTCCCCACGCATTTATAACTTAAATGATGTCACACATTGGCTTTGCATGTATACAGGGAAAACAGTATATGTTAAAGGCAAATCTTGTTTTGCAAAATATAATATTCTTCAAAGCAATTGTTCTTCATATGTAAACAAATATATTGAATCTTATGCACCAGTATACCCTGTATGTACTCGTGAAAATGTAGAATATATGTAGGCCCCCTATATACCATGGTAACCATATAGTAAGGGATGAATTCAGAATATTAAACACTAAAATACAACATGCTGACTTACAGCACCTGTATATAATTAAAAACCATCTCACAATAATAAACTTTAATCTACAACATTATAACTATATAGATAAGATAAACCATTCTGTTATCAGTGGCGTTTTCGTAAAACCAAGGTCTAGCCGAGATGGTAATAAATCAAATCAAATAACTCTGGTGCAAAAAGTGTTTAACTAAGTAAGCTGCAATACAAAATGGAATGCTCTTCACATTTTACTCTGTCTCTGAAAGTAGGCGGTACAGATATTACTAGCATACTCATTTGATGTCTTATACAGTAACAGTAAGCAAAAACCGAATTACTTTTGAAGCCCTAAATCTTGGGTGAAGGCTGAAGGGTACCTGGAGGTGGAAACCCACTTGATACTACTGTAAATTTAATGATGGGCCTAATGATAGGCAGTACAAAATTAATAGTTTGGTGCATATAAAGCCTTTGAACTACACTATTTTCAAGATAGTAAACGAATTACATAAATTCGTACTGCAGTCTGAGTATAACAAGTTATTCGGTGCTGTCTTATAAACAACCACACACCACACCACAACCACAGTTGGTAATAGCCATATGAGAGATACAGAGAGAGAGATAGGCTAATTGGCTAGCTGAGTTTCACAAATAATCTAATAATTAGCTATCTTGGTTTTATGAATCTTTAACTATGTCAATATTACTTAAATTGTTATTTGTTACAATAATTTCACTCTCATATTAAAAAACACGTATGTTACATTTGCGTTATCATCTGACTACCTTCAACTGACTACCTATAAACCCAAATAAGGGAAGACGCCTTGTGCAAAGAGCCCTGAATATGAGCATCTATTGCAATGACTGCAACTTCAGGGGGCACAGTGGTGCTCACGCCTCTCCCCTCTCCACGTGCCTTAACCCCTTCTGCACCAGCCAATCAATGTATGTTTTGGGGATGAAAAATGTACCAAGTAAGAGTACCCTACTTCATTTCATTGTGTGAAATAGTACATGTAGGCCTAGGAACTGGACAGTTGAAATAAAAAATCCTCGTTATGTCAACAGCTCAATTCTAAGTAACAATGTACATCAGGCTTCCCCAATCACAACTACATGACGGAATTTCATTTAAGTGTATGACTTTGATGTTGAATACTTATTAACTTGGTCATGTGACAGGTTATTTTTGAATTGAGGTCGTGGCCGTATCATGAGTCGCCATTATCTTATTGGGTCAAGGCAATATAATTTGAAGGGACTTTTAATGCCAGGTCGTTGTGAACGTACGTACGCTGTACTGGTATTGGATTATTGCGCACCAAAATGCACCCCACATTTAAATCGTTGGAGAAGGAGCAATTGCAGGCCTTGGAGGGACAGGTTACAGGTAGAGAGAGAGAGAAAGAGAGAGAGAGAGAGAGAGGGAGAGGGAGAGAGAGAGAGGTGAGGAGCAGGAGAAACAAAGATAGAAAGAATGTGTGTGCATGAGTGTGTGTGTGTGTGTGTGTGAGAGAGAGAGAGAGAGAAAGAGACAGGGAGAGAGAGGGGAAAACCATTTGCGTGGAGGAGCAAGAGAAAAAGAAAAAGAGATTTTACATTGTCAAGCATGGTTTCTGAAAGTTTTCTAAAAGACGGCTAGTCAATTTTGGCAATTACTTTGATCAACCAGCAATACATCATAGATAAGAAAATAGCGCGTTTGACAGGTATTTGCAAACCAACCGCTAGGCCACACGAAAAATTCTTTATTCATGATGTAAGTTCAACATTTCAGCAAGTGAATTTACAGAACAAGAAATAATAATGAAAATAAAAATAAAATAAAATAAATTAATACTGGCGTGTATGCAATGTATTCCCTCACCTATACAATGATGAAATGAACTTATATAAACGGCAAACTGTAAAAGAGGTAAAAGGGAGAAGACAGTTGTAAAGCACACGATATGATATGAAAAATATTGGGAGGCCAGATTAGTTACACTTCAAAACAATTGACTTTTGCACCATGTATCATAACTAAAGCTGTCTAAAACTATCTGATAAACAAAGTTGACCTTTCCCAATGCAAATAACAGCGATATTACCGTAGATAATGTAAAATACTTGTAGCCCAAGACATAAAGTACGATAAGCTCATTATGCAAGATGGGAAAAATGTGTGCATTTTTTCATAATTTATTCTGTTTTTCATCGTTGCATATTTACTTCCAGGCACAATCCCACCATGGCTAAAAGGCAGTTTTTACCGAAACGGCCCAGGAAAATACGAAGTCGGGGACACAAAATATAACCACCTGTTCGACGGGCTGGCTCTCCTGCACAAGTACTCCATTCGTGACGGAAATGTTACCTACCAGAATAAGTTTCTGAAGAGCGACACCTACAAAAGGAACATGGAGGCCAATAGGATTGTCGTGGCGGGGTTAGGCACGGTTGCCCATCCTGACCCGTGCAAGACGTTGTTTCAGAGGTAAACTTGTGTGAAGTGAAAAATATTTCGTTTCACGCTCTTTTTAGTCCTTTTCATCAGATATAATGTGTTGTTAAATGTGTTCCGTATTTTTTGTGGATAAACAGCCATGTACAGTAAGCTATTTACTTGTAACTTTTCCCTAGTCAGGCTTAAAACCCCTCAAAGAAAATTACCCGATGACTATATTTCCTTTTGAATATAAATTTATATTTTGTATATTATATCTTCTTTTAATCTTTTCTTTCAGGTTTTTGTCATATTTTACATTCAACGATGACGTGGTAAACGACAATTGCAACGTTAACATTTACCCGGTGGGGGACCAGCTGTTTGCTTGTACGGAAACTCACTGGTTGTGGAGAATCGACCCGGAGACACTGGAGACTCCTGGGAGGGTAAGGGTAACCAACAACGTCTTGATTAATAATTTATTTCAACAGAGAAAACCTGTTAAGTGCACATTTATCTTTTACCTGACCCTCCAATAAATATACTCAGGCGCTCAGTACAATTAGGAAAAGGGAACCAAATACTGCATAGAACTATTCTTATTTCCTGTGATATTTCCAAAGATGCAATCTCAGTGTGAGGTCTTTTAAAAGGCTCTGACACTGGAGAGCTGACCATGAGAGTCATACTGATCACGTGCATCTGACTGCAAAGAACACTAGGCATTTAAAGCCCCGTGGTCGCCTACGAAGACGCTTGTGTCTCGAGTGAGGTGACAAAAATTGTCAGGCGCCTTCAAATTGACCTGAAAACCTGCATCAGAATTTTTGAAGTATTAATTGGTGACTCTGTAAATCTGAACGAATCTGTAGCTCAACCCCATCCTAGCCTTTTTAATCATTCTAACGCCAGAAGTGATCGTGTTTCAATTCACATTGCTAGAAAACTACTGACCAAATTTGCAAAAATCCACACTTTCAGAACTACAGGATCAAGAGTATAGTTACTGGTTGAATAATTTGGAACTCAATCCGATTTGAAATGCTTATATATGATGTACTTGAACATGTAGCCACATGTTCCCTACAAATTGATACACAACAACCATTGCTGTTTTCGAACTATGTAGATAATGTAGAATGGGAGTTATCGGAAAGTTATGTACCCGATTGGGGGTCATCTGGGGGTTATTCACCTGTTACACATCCATTGATAGATATCTGATTATAGAATGCCTTTTGCAGGTCAATATTTCCCAAATCGTGGCCACCAACAACGCCACTGCCCACCCGCACTACGACAGAGACGGCAGTGTGTACAATATAGGAACCTGCTTCAGGGGAAGACCAAAGTTAACGGTGGTTCGATGGAAGCCAGACCCTCAAGGTTTGTACATAAGTATTGCTTTAAAGATGGATATTGAGCGAGCTAGTACTTACGTGTCAGATTTTTGCCCACAAACCCGACCAATGCTGCTTTGGCACAGATTAAAGAATACTTGCGATAACCTCCGTTTGATGGTGTTATGAAAATCTTACATTTTCTGCGATATTTTCAATGCTTAATTGTAGACCTTAGTATTTCACGTTTTGAAACTCTCTACTGCATATTCTACAATCTCACACGAATAGTTGTTATCACTTTAAACACCATTTGATATTTACTGCATAATCTCATATCTACATGCAGGGAAGACGCATCAGATCCAGAATGCAGAGTTGGTGGCAATCATAGAAAACCCGTACTACGTATCCTATACTTATTGCCACAGCTTCGGCCTTACGGAGAATTACATCGTGGTCATAGAGCAACCGCTGTTCATTAACATTCTCTCCATACTGACCTCTAAGATACGGGGCGTGCCCTTCTCTGATTGTTTTTATTGGGACAAGAATTGCAAGGTAAAAAGACAATAATTCATATTGTATAGTATAATATGTACATGTGCCAGGCTGTCACATATGGCATCGGTCTTAGTGATGGGTGTAATTTTTCTCCCCGGCTGCGTAAAATGCCAAACAAAAGCCGATTTGCTGTCATCAATGAGTTCATTTCATGTATGTTTTCCAATCGGCAAAAAGTCCATGTATAAGTAACGTTTGAATGGAAACCATTTTGGCAGTTGTTTGGATTTCTTTCCAATCATGATATATTTTGATGGCGGGACTGTTAAATTTTTGCTCAGACCATGAACCTTCTTGGTTTTCTTTAAGAGTAAAATGCATTAATATAATAGATATAAGTATTGCGGTAAGCACTTACCAGTATAGGACCTGCATTATTGAACATTACAACAAAATAAAAATAGCATAAATATATTAATTTTCACACTTACAGACTGTGTTCCACATCATCAACAAGAAGACGGGAGAGACAATTAACCCTGGTTACCACTATGTTGGGGACCCACTTCTGGTCTTCCACCACATCAACGCTTATGAGGACAACGGTGCGTGAGTGTTGTTCCTCGCGTATGCGTGGATTAAATGTTACCCATGAAGCGAGCATGGATTCCGTATGACGCAGATAAACCACTTTTAGTAGTTTCTTTTATGACTCAAATAAAGTTGACATCCAAGGCATAAACCAAGCTTTTACCTCGGTGAACCAAAATAAGCTTTAAGAACGGTAGCAATTTCAAATATCTGGTCGTTATTTTACCCATATTGTCCGCCCTGGGTTAAAGCTAGTAGATCATTGCTCAACTGACTGAATTATTATTTTCAGGTCACGTGGTTCTTGACATATGTTCAGGGGAAGATGGTTCCGTTTTTCGAACCATAACACGAGATAATATCGACAAACAAAGATTTGGTGGGACTTCGGCAGTTCGACCAAGGCGCTTTGTGCTTCCTCTGAATATCAGTCAAGACGTAGGTTTCTTTTACAGGTTTTGTATTTTATGCCAATTATTTATGAATTTATATTTGAGAAACGAGAATGCAAAAATGACGACAAATAGTGAGAGGGTTACAGAGTTATCTTCGCTTTATATGAGAAAATGACTTTCACAATATTTTTGGTAAAAACCAACTGCATGCAGATAAATTTGCATTACGTTCCTTGCATATGTGTTAATTTTAACTAAAAGGGGAAATATTGAAATTGATACTGATGCCATGTTGATTGAAAAACAGCAGTGTTATTATAACAATTCCCTTTTTAACAGGTGGTTGGCGGTAACCTAGTTACGCTTTCTGGTACAACATCCACAGCCACCTTGTTGTCTAGCAACGAGATATATTGCAAGGAAGAATTTCTTGGAGACTTGTGTAAGTAAAATGCAATCATGTCTTGTGTATGACATGGCAGACAAAAATCCTGTGCAGACAGGAGTTTGAGAAAATTTAAATTATGTCCCACTGACACAGCGCTGGGACGTTTCCATTACTAAAATAACCAGATTTTATTAACTTGACCTCGCAATATTTGCTCGTTCTCTGCTTTTGCCGCCCGTTGAAACCATCTTATACAACTGGGCTAGAGACCGCTTTGAGAATAATTTTAAGCTACTATTGCCGTTGATAGCAAGGAGTCGCCCTGTTGTTGTAATGCGGTGTCAAAGTGAACTGTGTTTTATCCAATCTACATTGATCATGAATTATGTTTCAGGCTCAGAATTCCCTACAGTGAACTATGACCAAATGAATGGTGTGAAGTACCGGTACATGTACAGTGTAACTTTCAGCGACACTGGGGAGTTTGGTCATGGGGTAGGTCACTATTGAAACGGTTTAAACTCTATTGCATAATGACACGGGCTTATACCTGTCACAGAATGATATGGAGCACACCTAACGCATTGTGAAACAAAACCACACACACCACATTGTGACACGAAGAACATGGCAACATTTGTGGCACAGCGTCAAGTCTTAGAGGTTATTCCCATAACCTTATCATACCAGCAGTATCGGTCTATCACGTACCAAGGGGATTCTCGCTAAATTCCATTCAGTTTAAGCGTGCTCGTTAGGTTAGTTAATTACCCCCTAGCAGCTTTAGTTGGTACCTGTATGGCAGAATTTAAGCCGCTTAAACTGAATGCAATTTAGCGAGAATCTCCTCGGAATTAGGCCGATCATGCTAGTACCATGGGTTTTATGGGGGCCCAGTCTTACAAAAGACACTACTGACTCTCAATTACAGCTCTTCCTTAACATTTGAAAGTACTTCAAAATGTGCTATTTATTACACCATTCATTTTTGTAATTTCATTATATATTATTCTCTTTATAATTCCATTTAAAATTGTTTTAAAACTTGTACATAGCCCAACACATCAACACATTGTATTTTTCTTGATTCACTTTTCAGTTGGTAAAGACAGATGTTCAAGCAAAGACCACCCAGGAGTGGACAGAGGAAGGCTGCTGCTTTACAGAACCCTGGTTTGTGCCTTCGCCAAATAGTGACGGAGAAGATGATGGTAAGACAGCGCGAACTCACTGGGCAACTGTCACACCAAATATTGCTGTAGTGTAAACTTCAAACTGTCACACCTTATCACAATCACACAATATTACAATTGCGCCAGGACTTACCACCTATCATACATATTACAGTTTCAAAACCCGCCTGGACGGGATATTGATTCACGGGTCTTTAATTGTGCCATTGAAATATTATGAAACATTTAACTCTTGGGTTGATTCGTGAGTTTCTGTGCCATTGAGATATTATTTAACCCAAGGGCATCTGTATTATAAATAGCATGCAACGCATGTTTGCAGTGGCATTACGCATGGTAACAGTATGCGAATGTACTAAGTATGCGAATGTACTAAGAATGGGAAATCAACTAACGTCAGTAACGTACAGGCGGTATGAGTATAACAATAATGATGTGGGCTTCTAAAGAGGCCTTTAATATTCTGAGTGATTTTTGGGTATTAGAATAAATCATAGCAGAATAAAATATCTTAAAAAGTCGCTGTTACTATAGTTGGTGTAGCTCGACTTCAATGCATTCTTGCTTGTCTTTGTAGGTGTTATTTTATCGGCCGTCCACAATGCCCAGATGAAAACATACCTGCTTGTCTTGGACGCCAAAACCTTCACTGAGCTGGGACGAGCAGAGTTTGATGTGGCGCCACCTACAGGTTTTCATGGACGTTTTCTTGACAGTGACATGATTCGTGGTTTGGAAAAAGAGTGAAATGAACAATAGTGGCCATCGCGGCAATTTTGTTAAAGTAATTTGGACTTGATGAAAGGCTTCAAAAAGAACAAATTTAGTAAAAAGAAAACTGAGCTGATTATGAAATTCAAAGTGAAGTTTTAGGGAAAAGAGCTAGAAGAAAATATTAAAAAAAAAAGAAACCCAATTGGAACTTTCCAGGAATGCTTATCTACAAACCCTTTTTTATATTAAATAATGTTAATTACATGTTGGTAGGATCGAATATAATGGGCTTTGCTTAAATGGACCACTGCTCGATTCCTTGTAGTGAAGAGAGGAATTTTTTCAAAATTTCCCTTACTACTTTAAGGCTCTAATAGAAAACTGACCTCTTTATATTTTCGAGACACACTGTATACACAAACAAAGTAAAATCATCTAAATGATAGCAATCAGTTAAAACAGCAAACAGATAGTATGGGACCCTGGTTTTTGAATTTACGTTCAAAAGTATTTTGGCATACTGCCGTCGGCTATGAGGGAGACAAAAACACTTTTATATTGAAACGTCATTGTTCTCTCATATTTTAAAATATTTAATTTTATTTCATGTACTATATGTTTCTTTTAACTTTTTTTATAACATAAAGCATTTAAGTGATTTTTCATAGTACCATTTATTCCAGTTATGGTTATTTTGAAATGTACATTTTGCAACGTTCCATTTTCGCAACGAAGAAAAAAATAACAAATATGTTTCGGAAAAGTAAAAATGACCAAATACTTGCAAATATAATTATAATTACTTGGTTGGAATCTTTTGATCTCATATTAAACTAGAAAAAAATCAATAGTAGGTCAGTTGAAGTTGTCGTAATTGTTTGCTTATTCTTATTCTGTTACAGTTTTTTTCTATTCATAATACTAAGTGTCTGCAAGTTGTACTTTTTGATAAATTAAATGCACTCATAAAAATGTTTTTCTATTATTTGAATATTTATAAAAAAATCAGAAGCAAACCCAGCGATGTGTTACTTAGCAACAAAATTGAATAAACTATTTGAAGTGGAAAGTGGAATATCAGTACGTGTTCTAGTCCCTATATAGCGTTTTGTATCGTATTGTTATGTGTGAATAAACCCATAATAAAATTCATTGTGTGTTGTGCATGACGTTTATTGTTTTATTATTTTAATAGATATATATATATATATCTAGAATATTATTAATCCGTTTAATGGAAAATTGTAATAGTAATTTATCTAATGTGGCTATGTAATTATCTATACGTTTGTTTGAAATATTAGTATATCCAAATTTTGAAATGCTTTATCAAACAGGTAAATACATGATTTGACTATGTTGAAATGTCAACATAACTGTTTAACTTTACGAAAAGTATCACATTCTCTCTCTCTCTCTCTCTCTCTCTCTCTCTCTCTCTCTCTCTCAAACACACATACGGAACACACACATACTCCAGATTAGCCATTTCATATTATTAACTTTTAAGAAATAATCGAAATGAGACCAAAATTCACTAGTGCATAAAGGTAGGTGTGCTGTCTTGGTATACTGACCCCACGAACACGTATAGAAAATGTAATCAGTTGCTGCATGGCCTTATCATCTACAACCAAGGGTGAACCACCTGTCTTATTCCCTCCCGGTGGGGGTTAAAAAGGATAAGAAATATTTTGATTTTAAGGTATCAATAGTAGATGGGCCATTCACCACTGAAGCTATATATATAGTTAGTCTGAAACCAGGAAAGCCGCCGTGTTTGTGTGCCTCTACTTGTGCGGGTAAACTTTTCAACAAGGACGTGGGCAACTGTGCGTATGCATGCTAACAGCTCACAATTTTTTAAAGTAAAGGAATGTTCAATTATTTCAATTCCTGTTTAACTCTTTCTTAAATTTGTTTCAAAATAAGTTTTTTGTATCATCATAAAATATAAAGAGAAGCGTTTCATTTCTGTTCCGTTCAGTAACCATCTACCCGGTAGCATCATGTATTGAAACCCTTCCTCGATCTGAAGAGGAACTAACAGAAGTACTGAAAAATTAATTACATAATTACTATACAGTAAACATACTCATCAGATCATTCGACGAATGATTTTTTAAAAACTATTTCTTCTAAAGAGTATGAAAGTCGAACCCCCTTCAACCCCCCCCCCCCCCCCCAACTCACATCCCTGACCTCGTGTCACCCGTGTTCAACATGTGTCACTGTAAACTTTTATCTCAGCGCCGTGACACCATTCGTGACTTACACCACTGGGATTCTGTTTAGAGCAGACTTGTCTCTGAGCTAGTCTATACGAATCCCAGTTTAACTCCCCCTACTGGGATTTCACGATGAAGACGTTGTTTTTATTGCTGACCTTGGGTTTGACCGTATCCGCACTGGTAAGTTGCAGTTGTCTTTTGAGATTTTTATTTATTTTGTTTTTAAATTTATTCTTATTTTCTTCATTTTGAATGTTTAGTCACTGAAATGACAGTAGTTTACTGATTAAAGGTATCCTGTCGGACGTTTTCAAGAAAAATCGAACTTCCGTCTGAAAAGAAGTTTGATTTTTTCCTGCCCACAAATAATTGCATGGTCAGTCCATGTACTTCGATTCAACATTTTACACCATTTTAATCAAATAATTTTATTGCATCTCAATGAATGAACCGTTGTTTAGATTGCTTTGTCTTAAAGTACATCTCAGAATGGAATATCGAAGTCAGGTACCATAATAAGAGGGGTTTTATCGTAATTAAATCTGTATTATACACATAGAAAATGCATGTTTGACTTAGGAAGTTTCCAAACTCGTAAATTCTCTCCATGTGTTGATTTTTGAAACATTACAATACTTGAGATACTCATTTACATGGTACAGTGTATAATATGTCATGTTCTCTTCGAAATCCAGCAAAATGGTAGGACAAAACAAGGCAAGCGACAGGGTAAAACGGCCGAAAGNGTAAAAATGCCCATACCTAAGAAAACATTATTTCTTATCATGAACATACAGCATTTACTTCTTCATCTAACGTCACCAGAAGAAACAGCGTGTTGATACCAGTGTTAACGTCGAGTGACACATTTAAACAACACAGTTTGAGATTAACAAATAACTTGTTGACATAAATGTATTGCTACGTGGCAATATGTCATGCAATAGCTATTTAGCGTGAACCCCCAGGGAGTTAGGTCGATATAAAGTAGATCGATCTGATCTCTGGAAATGGGGTCTTACACTGCAGGTACCCTATCCACAGTAAGTAGGCAGTATTTTTACAATTCTATACTGTAGCCTATACAGACCGAAAACTGACTGATCCAAAAACGACCATTAAATGTATTATGCATCAGATGCTGTTGAAGTCCCTCCACCTGACTCAATCTCTTCCTGATGTTCGCTTACACCGCTTTTCTGCACGTGATGTCAAGGGTTGGACAGTTTCTGCTGTTCTTTCAATTACTTGTACTCCCACACCACATACAACACGAATTGTATGAAAAAACTATATTCAATTAGTCGTATTTCATAAACAATAACTTATTTTTTCTCTACTTAAAATATATTTTACAAATGTTTCTAGTTAACATCGTTTTCATGTTTGTCTAGCTGATACTACTGGGGGGGGGGGGGGAGGGGAGGCACACCATTATAGTAAATTTCTCCCAATTTCTCTGAGATTCACGGCTGCCACCTATCGGCCTAAAAAGTACTTCTTTAATTTTTTCCGATATTTTTAATGTGTTTCTTGGAATATTTTTAGTGTGGTTCTTGGGTTTCTTGGTGACAACTAGCAGTCTATGATGTAAAATACTGCCCATTTTTTCCAGACCACAGGGTACAGTATAGCTGGCGGAAGGAGCTGATGAATGTGAGCGGTGCTGTGGTTTGTTTACAAACAAGGAGTGTGCATATGCTCAACTGCTTCCGGTAAGGAAACTAGCGTTTTGTTGATATTTTGTGCCATTGAGATTTATGTCAGTGTGTCTGCTGTCCTTGGAATAGAAAATGTTTCTCCAAATTATTTTATTCGCGCGGTTTTGCAGGCATTTCTTAGTATTATGGTGGGCAATATGGGAAAAGTACAATCATTAGTATCATTTGTACAAAGAAAATGTTCCTTTCATTAGGGGAAGCACCGTCTTACGGGGATATTCACCCAAATCTGGCCTACGTCATTGACAGTGGCTTTTCCATTATTTAACTATTGTTCCTTATAATAGTTTAGCTACCTCAAACAACACGTCCTTTTCCTGACATAAATCAACTATAGATAGCTCTTGATTTGATTTCATTCTATCGTTCTTAGATTATTAAGTCCAGTTCCATTTCCTTTCAGCTGTTTTTCTTATGTGTGTCATCAGTGGCATACCTTAGGTAAATGCCCTATTTAATGCTGATGTTTTCTCGCGATTAATTTTAGTCTCTGGTATAGTGACTATAGGGGTGTATTAATCCAGTATTTACACAGTAAGTGAACTTTGGTCAGACGCATCAAACACCTGCAGTCTACAGAGACGAGTCGCTCATGATCAGTAACTAACGTATTTTCGATTCGCTCAGACCTAAGTCTATAAAATAGACCGGGATGGTAAAATCTGAAGTACACGTAGCAGCATGGGAGAACCCACAGTATTTTGGACTTTGTACACCAATCTCAAACACCAAGTAGAACGTTTTTTTTTTTTCATTTTGTGGCATCCCAGATTTTTACCCAAGCCGATACGGTGTATAGCTTGTTGAATTAAAGTAAAAATATGGACTGCTGCTAGGACTGTGATCATCATCTACTTCTGGTCGAAATGCTTCGATCAGCCAGGAATGACCGAAATAAGATATTCACATTGAGGGTACATTTCAAAACACCGTCGTTCCCGAACTACACCGTTTTAAGCTCGCCACATGTATATGTAGGACTGTACATGTATTATATAAAGCGGTATAAGTAATTATATATGCGTCATATTGGTACACCTATGCACGGAACTACCGCGGTATTAAGGCGGAGTGCAGGGGAATCAAGTGTGAGACGTAAGTTGAAAATGTTTGTCCTTTGTACGAGAGGTGATTGAAAAAAATCGAGTTTGACCCAGAAAGTGGAGGAGGTCCCCCGACTTGAAATGCACAGAAGTTAATTCACATCACTCTTCGTACACGTTTATGTAACATTCATATGACTACTCATTGAATATGGCCAATACTCAGACATTCTATAACAAAATAATCCTTATATCTCATTAAAAAACAGCCTGGTATGCAACCTCCTTCATTCTTATTCATGTATTCCGATCATGAAATACATACTTGTAGTCTAAATTACACCCCTACATTTGCTATATTTATTATACATTCAACTCAATTTCAACATGATGAAATGTTTTGGTCTACCAAAATTTCAACGTTATAGTCCATGAGCCGTACACCTTTTCGGACGAAAAGCGTCACATCAAAAAGGGACGAATTCTTATAGTGATTTCTAGTAAGGATTATATCTGTAGTGTCCAAATATGTGTGATATCTTTCTCAATCTGGTAGCTCTTTATGTGCTATCACACCAATGTTTTGAACTACCATGTTGGATTTCTCTGTAGTATTCCAGTCTCATCTCTCTTATGTGGTTATATATAACAGTAAGATGATCTAAAAAAACACTCATCTATCCTTCTTCGTAATTCACGTGATCAGATCTCCAATCTACAAGAGCAACACTGCGTTCTTGTTTTTAAAAGCTATAAAACAATTGAATGTAATAAACAAGACAATAATTCTTAATCATAATAAGAAAATTTGATAAGCTTAAATTCCATCACTCTATTTCTTGAAAAACAAAGTACTGTACGACACATGCCAGCTAGTGAACTCTGGTTCATAACCGCCTTAAGGCCCGATTCTAATGTCAACTAATTTTTATAACTGTTTTGGGTGACAATTTCTTTTTTATGAGAATGCATTCACAAAACCTTAGCGTCACATCACTTCCAAACATTCATGTTAAGTGACGTGTCTGCAGGCAAATGATACATGGATATAGAATAGGACTTACCTGATTAGTTCTGCCCCTCAGCACAAATATGAAGTACACGGGAATATCATCATATCGGTATATGGAATGTCTCCTTAAAAATAAGAGCACGGGCTTGAACCCATTAGCAGAGAATAAGAAATTGCAAACAGATTCTAATCGTTGTAAACTTTTTGGTTGAATAACGCGTCAATACTACTTCCTAGATTCGTGGTCCAAATTATTTACAGTAAAATTGCTGTGAGGAAATCCGACGCAGACAACAGTTCCAATCATTTAGTGTGCACCCATTGCTCACTTAGGTACATTCTGACGATCTATAAGTAATTTCGCTCATAATATAAGGGCAACCTCCACCCGATTTTTATTTACCATGCTTTAACTTATCAGATCGGTAAGTAAATATCAGGTGTAACAGTAATCAAATGTCTGATAATGGTTGTCTGTAGGACTAACATTACTTGGGAATAGTAGTCCTACAGGGACTTAGGTTCCTGGTTCATAATTAGAGTGGGTAGGACTTGTATTACTGTCGGACTTTTATTCCTGTTACACCTGTGACAGTAATAAAAGGCCGGCCATTTGAAAGTCCTATCCTTAGGCAATAATACTGTTAAATGATACAACTATAAATGTATATGAAATCCTTCTGGTGAGCCATATATCAGACAAAAAATGAGAGGTTAGCAACTTCAGCTCGTCTGTGTAGTGGTTAGCGTGCAAGATCACAAGGTAAGAATTCATAAATCGTTCTGTTGCATCTATCGGTTCGAGACCTGCCTTTGACATGACCTTACCCCCCCCCCCCTTTCCCTTATTTATTACTTGTAGCAAAATGTTTAATCGTGCTTTTAATGTCTAATATGTGTTCGAAATTCCGTGCTCATTACATTTTCAACTTTCTTGTTTTGTCTTTTAAGTGTCAAAGCACCAAAATAGCAAAGGGTTTTTACAGAACATTATATACATATATTGCAATTTTCATTTTCTAACCTGTCTTGATTTGTCTTAAATCTCTGCCCACACATCGAGTTTGATGTTTTTTTTTATTTCAGCGAGTGTAAACCGAAAAATAAATCTGTGTAAAGTGATTTTTCTCTTAGGAATAAGGTTTTGAAAAAGAGAGAGAAGGAGAGAAAATAAGAATTTCAACGCAAAACACAAAAGGTACACCCCAGTAGAAAAGGACATGAAATAATAAACACTGTACATACAACATTGGTCAAAAAGGTTGTCCCACCCCCATTTCCATATGTACTTTTATTTACAATGATCACTTCACAGCTGTGAACTGTTAGAAATAGTACTTTTTATTACGGATACAGTGTTTAACATGATTAATGGTTAAAAAAATACAAAATAGTGGTGAAAATATACACATTTTATACCATTTAGTAAAATTTATAAGAGGTACCCCCTCAAATCGACTGTTTCACTGTGACTTCTACAGAAGTAAAGAAATGTCTATAAAATTGAAAAGACGCCATCAAATGTCACCAAATTCACACACAATTAGCATTAGGGTGTGCTCGTTAAAGATCACGTGCCTATCAGCGTGTGCGTCTACCGCGTACTGCAAGTATCTCCTGTAGATGGCGCGACAAGCCTTCAACATGGGTAACAATTCTGTTATGTGGAATATTGTCCCATTCTTCTTAAACAAGTTGGATGATGCCTTATTTAAAAAAAATATCGGGCAAACCAGGCTCATACATATTGTGCAATGAGGGAGGAGTACGCCAAAAATATGCGTTAACACGTCAGAATTTGCGTTTACTAGATGAAAAATACACATAAAATAAATAAATGGTTTTTGTTTCTTCATTAATATGCATATGAACTGCCTATCGGAAAACATTGTAAAATATAAAGATAAAATGTCATATAAATAGAATAAAGCAAACATTTATTATATCTTTAAAACTACAGGGTTACTCGAATTTCTTTGTTTCAACTTTCTCCCAGTAACAAATTGTGATAGTAAAAATTAGCCAGATGATTACCTTAGTGCTTTTATTACACTAAAGTTATCATCTGGCTGATTTAGACTATCAGTAAGTACCGGTACGTTAACCACAAATGTGTTTAATAACACCTGTACATGTTTAAGCTTGCAATTGACAGCTCATACAAAATACTCGTTAGCTCAACAGGTCAATTGAAACTTACATTGGGCTTCCACGATCACTTGAAAAGCAAATTGAGATCGGTTTTGGTTCATTCTCACGAGTATGTAACGAAAGTTCATTTAAAACAGATTTATGACATTGATGTTGACTATCGAATATCATCTACCCCCCCCCCCCCCTTCCTCAAAAATAAAACGCAAAGGGGGTTTAGAGTAGACCAAAGCCGTTCTCCACGCGGGTGTAAGCCCAGTTTAACGGAATTAAATGTGCATTAAACTTAGCCACATGACATGGTTATTTTTGTATTGAGGTCCCAGCCGTATGACGAGTCGGCATTATCTTAATGGGTCAAGGCTTAATATATGCAGATCAACAGTATAATTTGAAGGGAGTTTTAAAGCCAGGTAGTTGTGAATTTAAATTGCGACTCCAGATGCATCCTACCTTCAAATCGTTGGAGAAGGAACAACTGAAGGCGATAGAGGGACGAATAACAGGTAGAGAGAGGGAGACAGAGAGACAGAGGGGCGTAGAGAGGGATATTTAGCGCTAGTGCAAGGTTTCAAGTTTCCTTAAAGAAAGCAACCCGTTTTTTTATCTGTTAGTTTTCATTTACCAGCAATACATTAAAGATAAGATATAAGTGCCTTTGATAGATACCCCTTGGCAGGTACACGTATTTACCAAATCACTGTAAGGCAAAATAAAGTTGGAAAAATTGTTCTACAAGTTAATTTTTGAGGATTTCTGATTTTTACATCTATTTTTATAAATATATTGTATATGACATTGTACTAGTATTGGTAAGTGACAGAACTTACAATTTGACCTAGGGAAAGGATGAGGATTTCTGATTTTGATGAGCACTGGGTGAGTGGACGTGTAGATCCAAGTTACAGCATTAAAATAGATGACATACAGCTTGTGCAGTTTAACAAATTTAAGTGTTTTTCAATGGTGTACATTTACTTCCAGGCATAATCCCATCATGGCTGCAAGGCAGTTTTTACCGAAACGGCCCAGGAAAATACGAAGTCGGGGACACGAAATATAACCACCTGTTCGACGGGCTGGCTCTCCTGCACAAGTACTCCATTCGTGACGGAAATGTTACCTACCAGAACAAGTTTCTGAAGAGTGACACCTACAAAAGGAACATGGAGGCCAATAGAATTGTCGTGGCGGGGTTAGGCACGGTTGCCCATCCTGATCCGTGCAAGACGTTGTTTCAGAGGTAAACTTGTGTGCAGTAAAATATTTCGTCAATACTTGTGATATAAGTCTGTTGTTAAATGTGTTCATATGTTCTGTAAGCGCTCCAAGTTATATATTTTGTGGATAAAAACCCTTGAATGCTACATACATGTCAGCCTTAAAAAACCAAGAAAAATACCCAAGACGATACTTCTTTCAAAAAATTAATTTTTTATATCATTTAGTATATCTTCCTTGCATCTTTTCTTTCAGGTTTTTGACATATTTTACATTCAACGATGACGTGGTAAACGACAATTGCAACGTTAACATTTACCCGGTGGGGGACCAGCTGTTTGCCTGTACGGAAACTCATTGGTTGAGGAGAATCGACCCGGAGACGCTGGAGACTCCTGGGAGGGTAAGGGTAACCAACAACGTCTTAATTAATAATTTATTTCAACAGAGAAAACCTGTTAAGTGCACATTTATCTTTCACATGACCCTCCAATAAATATACTCAGGCGCTCAGTACAATTAGGAAAAGGGAACCAAATACTGCATTGAATTATTCTTACTTCCTGCGACAACTATCCAAAGATGCAATCTCAGTGTGAGGTCTTTTAAAAGGCTCTGACACTGGACAGCTGACCATGAGAGTCATGCTGACCACGTGCATCTGACTGCAAGGTATACTAGGCATTAAAAACCACATGATCGCCTACGAAGACACACGTGTCTCTAGTGAGGTGACAGAATTGTCAGACGCTTTCAAATTGACCTGAAAACCTGCATCAGAATTTTTTGGAGTATTTATTGGTGACACTGTAAATCTGAACTAATCTGCAGTGCAATCCCATACCAGCCTTTTTAATTATTATGATACCAGAAAAAAAACGTGTTTCACTTAACATTGTTAGAAAACGACCGACCAAATTTGCAAAATCCATACTTTCAGAACTATAGGACCAACAGTATAGTTACCGTTTAAATAAAATGGAATTCAGTCAATTTTGAAATGCATATGATGTATTTGCACAGGTAACCACATGTTCCCTACAAATTGATACACAACAAACATTGCTGTTTGCAAACTATGTAGACAATGTAGAAAGGGAGTTATCGGAAAGCTATGTACCTGATTGGGGGTTATCTGGGTATTATTCACCTGTTACACATCCATTGATAGATATCAGATCATAGAATGCCTTTTGCAGGTAAATATTTCCCAAATCGTGGCCACCAACAACGCCACTGCCCACCCCCACTACGACAGAGACGGCAGTGTTTACAATATAGGAACCTGCTTCAGGGGAAGACCAAAGTTAACGGTGGTACGATGGAAGCCAGACCCTCAAGGTTTGTACACTGTCAAAGTATTGCTTTAAAGATGGATATTAAGCGAGTACTTTCGTGTCAGATGTTTGCCCACAAACTCGACCAAATGCCACCATGGCACAGATTAAAGAATAATTGCGATTACCCCCGTTTGGTGGTTTTATGAAAATCTTACATTTTCTACGATGTTTTCAATGCTTAATTGTAGACCTTTGAATTTCACGTTTTGAAACTCTCTATTGCAGTTTCTAGAATCTCATATGAACAGTTGTTATCGCTTTAAGCGCCATTTGCAATTTACTGCATTATCTCATGTTTACGTGCAGGGAAGACACATCAAATCCAAAATGCAGAGTTGGTGACAACCATAGAGAATCCGTACTACGTGTCCTATACTTATTGCCACAGCTTCGGCCTCACGGAGAATTACATCGTGGTCATAGAGCAACCGTTGTTCATTAACATCCTCTCCATCCTGACGTCTAAGATACGGGGAGTGCCCTTCTCTGATTGTTTTCATTGGGACAAGAATTGCAAGGTGAAACGACAAAAATACATACTGTATATATAGTTTAGTATGTACACGTGCCAGGCTGCTATTTATGATGGGCTCATTTTTTCTCCCTGGCTGCGTAAAATGCCAACCAAAAGCCGAATTGTTGTCATCAGTGACGCCATCTTATATATATGTGTTTTTCAATTGGCAAACGGTTCATTAATTGGTATAGTACTAAAAAATTGTATTTCTTTAAACTTTATGTGTGAATTGCAACTATTTTGGTGGTTGTTTGGATTCCTTTCCCAAGACATGAATCTTTTAATGGATGGTTTGTTAAATTGTTGCCCAAACTAGGAACCTTCTGCATGGGGCCCCCGGTGTAACAGGAATGATAGTCCAATGGTAACCGTATTTCGTTTCCAATTGCTTTTTGCACAGGTGGCATTTGTTTCATATACTAGCCCCAATACTCCGACTACTCTTTTAACCTGTATTAATCATATGGAATCCTGGACTTCCATTACTAGGATCAATATACCGTTCCTGCCACATTCCTAGTCCGACTTGCCGGTTGGTTGAAATGTTAAAGACAGGCTGATATCTGCTGCTGACACAAATGTACTTCATTCAGAAAATGCCCTACTCACATCTTATTTGTGGTAAATATCAATAGTAATAAAATAAACATAAATACATTTTTGTCAACTACATTATTTTCAGTCTGTGTTCCACATCATCAACAAGAAGACAGGAGAGACAATTAACCCTGGTTACAACTATGTTGGGGACCCACTTCTTGTCTTCCACCACATCAATGCTTATGAGGAAAATGGTATGGGTATGTTACTCCCCTGTACGTGGATTAAAAGTTGCAAGTGGATTCCCTATGACGCAGATAAACCACTTTTTCTAGTTTCTTTTACGACTCAAATAAAGTTGATATGCAAAAGAATAAATACAACAATACCTCTATTAACCAAAAATAACTTTAAAACGATAGCTATTTCTAATTCCTGGTCGTAATATATATATATATATATATATATATATATATATATATATATATATATATATATATATATATATATATATATATATAACACAGGAAAAAAACAAACAGATAAATACCTATTTAAATATCGTTTTTCGGAAGCATGAGACCCCACTTCTTGGTATTTCTTTAACTTATCATTTTATTATGCTATTTGAAACTATTTGATGGCTTTCGGTTGAGTTAAGTGGCACGGGTTTTTCTTTATATTTAACTTTAAGGAAAACTTTTTGGAATGAGGCAAGGCGTCCAAACATTATTTTCATTAATTGTAAAAAAAAAAAAACATTGAGTTCGCTCTTGTTTATATACAGATTAGAAAGCATTTTGTGTGCTGCCTTTATTGTTAACTCTCGCATAAAAAAATATACAGAAAATGACAATAAGAGGCCGAAAAATCATGATTTTCTCCATCTCAAATACCAAGCAAGTAACGTTTACATTTAAATATCTGACTGACTTACTCTATCATATTTTCAGGACACGTGGTTCTTGACATATGTTCGGGGGAAGATGGTTCCATTTTTCGAACCATAACAAGAGATAATATCGACAAACAGAGATTTGGCGGGACTTCGGAAGTTCGACCAAGGCGATTTGTGCTCCCTCTTAATATCAGTCAAGATGTAGGTTTCTTTTACACGTTTTGTATTTTGTGCCAATTACTTTTGAGAATTATATTTGAGAAAGTAGAATGCAAAGAGGACAGCAAAGAGTGGCAGGGTTACAGAGTTATATTCGCTTTATATAAGAAAAATAGCATCGTCCTTTTCACAATATTCTTGGTAAAATCCAACTGCAGATAGATTTGTAATACGTCCCATTGCATATGTGTTATCTGTAACTAAAAGGGGAAGTATTGAAATTGATACTGATGCCATAATGATTGAAAGACAGCAGTGTTATTATAACAATTCCCTTTTTTAAAAGGTGGTTGGCGGTAACCTAGTTACACTTTCTGATACAACATCCACAGCCACCCTGTTGTCTAGCAACGAGATATATTGCAAGGAAGAACTTCTTGGAGACTTGTGTAAGTAGAATGCAATCACGTCTCATGTATGATACGACAGACTACAATTCTGGCCAGACAGTGGTTTGAGAAAATCCAAATTATGCCCCACTGACACCGCGCCGTGACGCTTACATCACCAAAATAACCAGATTTTATTAACTTGACCTCGCAACATTTGATCGTTATCTGCTTTTGCCGCCCATTGAAACCATCATATACAACTGGGCTAGCGACCGCTTTGAGGATGATTGTTAAGCTACTATCGCCGTTGATCGCAGGGAATCGCCTGTATTTTATCCAATCTACATTTATCATGATTTATGTTTCAGGCTCAGAATTCCCCACAGTAAACTATGACCAAATGAATGGTGTGAAATACCGGTACATGTACAGTGTAACTTTCAGCGACACTGGGGAGTTTGGTCATGGGGTAGGTCACTATTGAAACGGTTAAAACCCTAATGTATTATGACACAGACTTATAACTGTCACAGTATGACATGGAGCACACCTAACGCACTGTGAAACAAAACAACACAAAACACATTGTGGCACGAATAACATGGCAAACTTTGTGACACAGCGTCAAGTCTTAGAGATCATTCCCATAACATTATCATACCATCAGTATCGGTCTATGTCCATAGGGATTCTCGATAAATTCCATTCAGTTTAAGCGTGCTCGACAGTAAATTACCCCCTAGCAGAATTTAAGCCGCTTAAACTAAATGTAATTAAGCGAGAATCTCATCGGAGTTAGGTCGGTCATGATAGTACTATAGGTTTTATGGCGACCCAGTCTTACAAAGGACACTACTGACTCTCAATTACAGCTCTTCCTTAACATTTGAACGTACTTCAAAATGTGCTATATATTACACCATTCATTTTTTGTAATTTCATTATATATTATTCTCTGTATAATTCCATTTAAAATTGTTTTAAAACTTTACATAGCCCAACACATCACCACATTGTATTTTTCTTGATTCACTTTCCAGTTGGTAAAGACAGATGTTCAAACAAAGACCACCCAGGAGTGGACAGAGGAAGGTTGCTGCTTTACAGAACCCTGGTTTGTGCCTTCACCAAATAGTGACGGAGAAGATGATGGTAAGACAGCGAACTCACTGGGCAACTGTCACAGCAATTACTGAAATAAAATTCAAACTGTCACACCTTATCACAATCACACAATATTACAATTGCGCCAGGACTTACCACCTATCATACATATTACAGTTTCAAAACCCGCCTGGACGGGATATTGATTCACGGGTCTTTAATTGTGCCATTGAAATATTATGAAACATTTAACTCTTGGGTTGATTCGTGAGTTTCTGTGCCATTGAGATATTATTTAACCCAAGGGCATCTGTATTATAAATAGCATGCAACGCACGTTTGCAGTGGCATTACGCATGGTTACAGTATGCGAATGTACTAAGTATGCGAATGTACTAAGAATGGGAAATCAACTAACGTCAGTAACGTACAGGCGGTATGAGTATAAAAATAATGATGTGGGCTTCTAAAGAGACCTTTTATATTCTGAGTGATTTTTGGGTATTAGAATAAATCAAAGCAGAATAAAATATCTTAAAAAGTCGCTGTTACTATAGTTGGTGTAGCTCGACTTCAATGCATTCTTGCTTGTCTTTGTAGGTGTTATTTTATCGGCCGTCCACAATGCCCAGATGAAAACATACCTGCTTGTCTTGGACGCCAAAACCTTCACTGAGCTGGGACGAGCAGAGTTTGATGTGGCGCCACCTACAGGTTTTCATGGACGTTTTCTTGACAGTGACATGATTCGTGGTTTGGAAAAAGAGTGAAATGAATAATAGTGGCCATCGCGGCAATTTGTTAAAGTAATTTGGACTTGATGAAAGGCTTCAAAAAGAACAAATTTAGTAAAAAGAAAACTGAGCTGATTATAGAATTCAAAGTGAAGTTTTAGGGAAAAGAGCTAGAAGAAAATATTAAAAAAAAAAAGAAACCCAATTGGAACTTTCCAGGAATGCTTATCTACAAACCCTTTTTTATATTAAATAATGTTAATTACATGTTGGTAGGATCGAATATAATGGGCTTTGCTTTAATGGACCACTGCTCGATTCCTTGTAGTGAAGAGAGGAATTTTTTCAAAATTTCCCTTACTACTTTAAGGCTCTAATAGAAAACTGACCTCTTTATATTTTCGAGACACACTGTATACACAAACAAAGTAAAATCATCTAAATGATAGCAATCAGTTAAAACAGCAAACCGATAGTATGGGACCCTGGTTTTTGAATTTACGTTCAAAAGTATTTTGGCATACTGCCGTCGGCTATGAGGGAGACAAAAACACTTTTATATTGAAACGTCATTGTTCTCTCATATTTTTAAATATTTAATTTTATTTCATGTACTATATGTTTCTTTTAACTTTTTTTTTATAACATAAAGCATTTAAGTGATTTTTCATAGTACCATTTAATAATTTATTCCAGTTATGGTTATTTTGAAACGTACATTTTGCAACGTTCCATTTTCGCAACGAAGAAAAAAATAACAAATATGTTTCGGAAAAGTAAAAATGACCAAATACTTTGCAAATATAATTATAATTACTTGGTTGGAATCTGTTGATCTCATATTAAACTAGAAAAAAAATCAATAGTAGGTCAGTTGAAGTTGTCGTAATTGTTTGCATATTCTTATTCTGTTACAGTTTTTTTCTATTCATAATACTAAGTGTCTGCAAGGTGTACCTTTTGATAAATTAAATGCACTCATAAAATGTTTTTCTATTATTTGAATATTTATAAAAAAATCAGAAGCAAACCCAGTGATGTGTTACTTAGCAACAAAATTGAATAAACTATTTGAAGTGGAAAGTGGAATATCAGTACGTGTTCTAGTCCCTATATAGCGTTTTGTATCGTATTGTAATGTGTGAATATATATATATAAACCCATATTAAAATTCATTGTGTGTTGTGCATGACGTTTATTGTNTTAGATAAATTACTACTACAATTTTCCATTAAACGGATTAATTATATTCTATATATATATATATATATATATATAGAATATAATTAATCCGTTTAATGGAAAATTGTAGTAGTAATTTATCTAATGTGGCTATGTAATTATCTATACGTTTGTTTGAAATATTAGTATATCCAAATTTTGAAATGCTTTATCAAACAGGTAAATACATGATTTGACTATGTTGAAATGTCAACATAACTGTTTAACTTTACGAAAAGTATCACATTCTCTCTCTCTCTCTCTCTCTCTCTCTCTCTCTCTCTCAAACACACATACGGAACACACACATACTCCAGATTAGCCATTTCATATTATTAACTTTTAAGAAATAATCGAAATGAGACCAAAATTCACTAGTGCATAAAGGTAAGTGTGCTGTCTTGGTATACTGACCCCATGAACACGTATAGAAATGGCCTTATCATCTACAACCAAGGGTGAACCACCTGTCTTATTCCCTCCCGGTGGGGGTTAAAAAGGATAAGAAATATTTTGATTTTAAGGTATCAATAGTAGATGGGCCATTCACCACTGAAGCTATATATATAGTTAGTCTGAAACCAGGAAAGCCACCGTGTTTGTGTGCCTCTACTTGTGCGGGTAAACTTTTCAACAAGGACGTGGGCAACTGTGCGTATGCATGCTAACAGCTCACAATTTTTTTAAGTAAAGGAATGTTCACTTATTGCAATTCCTGTTTAACTCTTTCTTAAATTTGTTTCAAAATAAGTTTTTTATATCATCATAAAAAATAAAGAGAAGCGTTTCATTTCTGTTCCGTTCAGTAACCATCTACCCGGTAGCATCATGTATTGAAACCCTTCCTCGATCTGAAGAGGAACTAACAGAAGTACTGAAAAATTAATTACATGATTACTATACAGTAAACATACTCATCAGATCATTCGACGAATGATTTTTTAAAAACTATTTCTTCTAAAGAGTATGAAAGTCGAACCCCCTTCAGGACCCCCCCCCCCAACTCACATCCCTGACCTCGTGTCACCCGTGTTCAACATGTGTCACTGTAAACTTTTATCTCAGCGCCGTGTCACCATTCGTGCAGCGCCGTGTCACCATTCGTGACTTACACCACTGGGATTCTGTTTAGATCAGACTTGTCTCTGAGCTAGTCTATACGAACCCCAGTTTAACTCCCCCTACTGGGATTTCACGATGAAGACGTTGTTTTTATTGCTGACCTTGGGTTTGACCGTATCCGCACTGGTAAGTTGCAGTTGTCTTTTGAGATTTTTATTTATTTTGTTTTTAAATTTATTCTTATTTTCTTCATTTTGAATGTTTAGTCACTGAAATGACAGTAGTTTACTGATTAAAGGTATCCTGTCGGACGTTTTCAAGAAAAATCGAACTTCCATCTGAAAAGAAATTTGATTTTTTCCTGCCCACAAATAATTGCATGGTCAGTCCATGTACTTCGATTCAACATTTTACACCATTTTAATCAAATAATTTTATTGCATCTCAATGAATGAACCGTTGTTTAGATTGCTTTGTCTTAAAGTACATCTCAGAATGGAATATCGAAGTCAGGTACCATAATAAGAGGGGTTTTATCGTAATTAAATCTGTATTATACACATAGAAAATGCATGTTTGACTTAGGAAGTTTCCAAACTCGTAAATTCTCTCCATGTGTTGATTTTTGAAACATTACAATACTTGAGATACTCATTTACATGGTACAGTGTATAATATGTCATGTTCTCTTCGAAATCCAGCAAAATGGTAGGACAAAACAAGGCAAGCGACAGGGTAAAACGGCCGAAAGGTTCAATGACAGAAAGTGGAGCTTTGTTTGCAACTATGATAGCGACGGCGCACTCCCAAGAGGGTCTAGAATACCGTGCAGATGGATAGATGTCACTAGAGGCAACTACGAGACCGCCATATACAACTCTGATAATATCGATCAGCACAACCCAAAAAATGGTCACAATAAGGGAAAGAAGACGCAAAAACAAGAGAATTATATCATCCATTCTTCCTACCTTGCCCTCGGAGATCCTGCGCCCAAGCAACGTGAAACTCGCCTCAAATCGCCCAAAGAACCAAAGAACTCAAAACCCGACCCAAACAAAACGGAAACTACTCAAGGGAATCCTTGTGACCCAAATCCGTGTCCTAAAGACGCCAAAGGCAAAGCAGTAAAATGTCAAGTAAATCCTAAAGAGAATACGTACAAATGTAAAATACCAAAAAGTAAGTTATTCTGGGAATTTCTTGTTTTTTTCGTTTTTTTTTTTTTTTTTTTTTTTTTTTTTTTTCGGGAAGGGGGGTGGGCTGGGAGATGTACATGCATGTACTTTATAATTTTACTTAGAAGCTAATCTGCTTTTATATTATGCACATGTTGCTTTATTAAAACAAGCTAGCTGGCATGTCTAACGACGATCGGATTTTATATGCCAGTGTAAAGCGCTGAGACGCACGTGTAGCGCGGTTTTAGGAAATGCATTATTATTATTATTATTATTATTCATTATTATTATTATTATAAGACCGTTGCTATTATATAGATGCACCTACTGTAATAGGCATCTTGAAATGAAAAAGTGGCAGTGCTACAAACATATAAAATATATATTAAAAAGACACCTGGCATACTATGAAGAAGCCACATGGGCTACCAACTGTAGACGTAATTAACTCTCAAAGAACCTGTTTAACTGTACGTTTTCATATGTGTCCAATATGCTGCGTTATCATATCCTTCCCAGGGTTTGTATGAAGTAATTTGTTCCTTGCGTATCCTTGTAGATCCAAAAAGTACGTTAAGCAAAACTTTAGAAACATTACGGCCTCTGTTCGGAAACGTTTACCCTTGGTCCTGCAAACTGTTAAAGAATGATAATTTTTCGAAATGTAAGATGATTCGAAATGTACCTTATCGTATTATTGTTTGATGAATTGTCGCCGTGTACTTTACATACATGTAACTTAAGATATTTTGCCTCTAACTTTATTTAAAAGAATTTATGCATTTAAGATGTATATTTTGCATCTTTCTTGCTGTCTTGTATACATAGTCTTTCTAGTTGTTTTGGAATTTTAAAGGGTTTTGAATAAGTTGTCGACAGTGAGCGTATCAATAATTCTAACACATGAAGGGATTGCATTGAAAAGCTTAGTTAATTCATTTTACATTAATACTGTTGAAAGAAATATTGGTTTTAAAAACAAAAAGAAGTCCATCATTAACCCTGTCAGAAGTCGCAGGGAGTATGGTTTCCTTTCATACCTATTGGTGCCGCGCGCAAAAGCTTTCTCTTTTCTGCTTTCAAATCAGAGAATGCAAAGACTCTTAGATAAACAGAGAATTATTGTATTTCAGTCTTGAATTATCTTCGATCTTGCAATATTAAAGATGCACATGAAGTCGAATTTCTGCCACAAAAGTCAACCATATGCCAGCATTTAGTTTCAAGTAGTATAACTAAGAGAATTACCAAAATGCGTTGTTTAATTTTACCAAAAATGATATTTGAACGGATTTTTCTGCTAGCATTCTGTGCTGTATATCAATGGGGCAGAAAAGTAAATCACGAAAATAGGTTAAATTTCTGACCAAAAATTCAAAAAGCTTTTTAATGTCAAGTGATTTATTCATTTTATTCATTGGCATGTCGAATTTATTTGCGTCGTATAAGAAACTCGTAGAAGTGGTTTATATTTGTCACTGGGAAGTAACGCTCTACCGATGCTTGGTTCGCATGTACCTTTAAATGATAGATTATCGATACTATTATAAGTATTGGCATTGCCATTGAACACCGGGACGTTATGTTTCTTACAGACACGTGCGTTGTGGATGGAGAACTCTTGGCAAGAAACAAGAAGAGAGTTATTGGGTGCAAGTCTTGTGTGTGCCGTCTGCCAAACATAGAAGAACCAGTCTGTAGTAGCATGTAAGTCAATTGTTATTTTCCCTCTCCCTCTCTCTTCAGAGTGGTCGTCACCCATAAATTAACCAACACAACTGGTAATGGTTATAATAAAATGAGTACACTTTGTTTTTTCATCAGAATTTGCTAATAAAAATGGGTGCGCATCCTCTTCCTTCTATAACAAACTCAAATAATTAAGATAAAACATCGACAAGGTAAGTTTTGGTATATGCGATATGCATACTGTAACTCGAGCTTCTGCAAGTAAATTCTAAATTTGAAAAATCATAACAATGCATTATTCCAGCTGTAAATCATGGAACCCTGCTCTGATACCATCTGCGTGTAAACTTATCACACCTCCTGGTAAATGCTGTCAGGAACTCGACTGTAGCGGGTCCGGGGCAGCCAATGCTGTCTCAACAAAGAAAACAACGCCATCTATCGTCACGAGTACCGCTGCTCCCAAGAACCCGTGTGAACCAAACCCTTGTCCCAAAGACGCTAAAGGTAACCCGGTAGAATGTGAAGTGAGACCTATAGAGGGGACATACAAGTGTAAAATACCTAAGGGTAAGTGAGAACTGAATTAAAAAAAGGAATTGTTGCTTGTTTTTTAGAACATACAATTATTTGACATCGTTGTCGGATTTTCTTTATTCATGCTTGTTATTGCCCACGTTACTTGCCATTCTTTGTTTTAAAGGTTTTGAAATGTACACACTTTGTGGCACTAGGGCATTCAAAGTTGCAATGACAAAACTAAATGAAATTCGTTTGGACATGCGCATTTTATGAGCATGAACAGGTGTTTTTTTAACCTGATCACATGTGCACGTAGGTGCTAAAACGTGCGGTGCCGTACCGACAACGTTTTAACTTCCAATGATGGCCTATGGATGGGAGGCAACAACCGAAAAAGAAAAAAACACTGAAAGGGTTCCGTGCAAGCCATTTTCAAACAAACAAAAAAAAAACGTTTTTCTCGACCTGTTATCAAGGTCTTATCGGAAAAATGATACCACAACTGTACTGTACCTATTGTTTTCATAAAGGCTGCAGCAATTCGACACTTGTTATATCATAAAATTAAAAAAATAATCGTGTGCGTTGCAGATGTAACCAAAATTTTAAGTTGTGGGGTTGTCTTGATGCATTGGCACATGGTCGAATTCAAACCGATTAGCCCAGCTATATTTCTTACAGATACGTGTACTGTGGATGGAGAGGTCTTGGCACTGAATGAGAGGAGAGTAATTGGGTGCAAATCTTGTGTCTGTTTTCGGGTTCTTACTTTGAGATTGTACTATTGCGATGATACGTAAGTTCCTTCCTCTCTTTCTCTCTCTCTCATTACTCCCTCTCCCTTTTCTCTCCCTCACACCCACACACACACACACACACACACACACACACACACTTTCTCTCTCTCACACACTCTCTCTCTCCGTTTATAGTGATAACCTGTGAAATTTGCCAAGACAACCTGTCACTTGTTTAATTGATTATTTTAAGTGTCTGTGCTTGAATTTAAATCTAAATCCACTCACTCCAGTTGCTCAACATCCACCGCTACAACCACCGAACCAACCACGACCACAGCGGTACCAACCACAACCACCGCGACAACCACAACAACAACCACCGTACGAACAACTACCTTGAAGGAACCCACAACAAAAACCAGCGAGGCAACCACGGCTACGATGAAACCGACCAAAGCAGCCACCGTACCAACCACTACCACAGCAAATCCCACAACCAAAGTTATACCCACAACCACCCTGGCGCCCCTGAACCCCTGTGAACCAAACCCGTGTCCCAAAGACGCCCATGGTCAGCCTATTGCCTGTCAAACGAAACCTGCAGATGGCACACACGAGTGTATAAAACCAACAGGTCAGTAACTTTTGCAGCTGTTACAGGTTTTACATTTCTATTGGACTATTCTGTTAAAATGAATGTATGGATACAACGGTTTTGATTACGTATTTGAGTCGTAAAGTTCGTCTGATTTTGAAATTATAGCCGCAAACTATCTTTGAAAACAATGGCTTTTTCAGAGAAACGAGGGCTTCGTACTTAAATGATGTAATACTTTAGCACCTGTTTAATGATCAATACAATGGGACTTCATTAATAATTCCAGATATGTGTATGGTAGATGACGAGCTGCTGGCTCGAGCAGAGAGAAGAATTATTGGCTGCAAGAACTGTATCTGTCTTAACCCTAGCGCTAACTTTGCGTTCTGTGAGTCAACGTAAGTCTCTCTCTCTCTCTCTCTCTCTCTCTCTCTCTCTCTCTCTCTCTCATAGGTGCCCTAAAACGTTATTATCAACTATCGGCTGCTGATACCAGCAAAAGACATTTAACATTAAGATATTTATCCAAGCCTTCAAATTGTTCTATTGACTCTAGATCTGACACGTGTAATATTGTAGGTGTAAGCCGTGGACCTCTGATCAGATTCCCCCCGGCTGCCAGCTTATAACGCCTCCTGGAAAATGTTGCCAAGAACTTGACTGTAGCGGGGCTGCAGTGACCAATACAGTGCCAACGAAAACCGTACCTGTAACAACGACCCAAATTCTCACGAACCCCTGTGAGCCAAACCCATGTCCCAAAGATGCCAAAGGGCAGCCTGTTGCCTGTCAAGTGAAACCTGCAGACGGGAAACATGAGTGCCTTAAACCAGATGGTAAGTTCTTTCTGCACATAACCGTTTTGTCAGACTGATTTTTAAGGATTTCTGGTTTATTTCATTTGTCTATTGGCTCACGTTTGAACGATATCTTGAAATTGCACTGATGCCATGGCTCTGATGTTACCCGTGTTGAATTTAAGTGAGTACGGGTGTGTATAAACTATATAAAAAGAATACACTAAAGTAACTATCACAAAATCTGTCATGTCTTTTAAAGTGTACATATGTAGATAAGTTGGACGGTGTACAAACCGGAAGGTAGACTATCACAAAAATAAATGTTCAATGCATCTAGAAACCGACACAAGTGATGAGCATTTTCTGTCATGTTCTGAGACAGATACTCTCACCTTATTATTACAGATATGTGCATGGTGGATGACGAGCTGTTGGCTCGGGCAGAGAGAAGAGTTATTGGCTGCAAGAATTGTATATGTCTTAACCCCAGCGCTAACTTTGCATTCTGTGAGTCAACGTAAGTCTTTCTCCTTCCCTATCTCTGCTTCTCTCTCTTTCTCAAAAGCATACGCTTACAAGCATCCAATACTGTCAAATTAAAGACATCTTTGTTGCCGTGAACTAGGGGGTAATATGATGATCTATCGTAATATGTGCATTGTGCGTTGACTCTCTTAACTTTGATTATACACTTTGATCTTTCACACTAGATGTAAACCGTGGACCCCTGATCAGATTCCACCTGGCTGCAAGCTAGTAACACCTCCTGGAAAATGTTGCCAAGAACTCGACTGTAGCGCGGTGGCAGCGGTTTCTTTGGGAAAATAAAATGCAGTGCCGCCATCTGCAGTGTATCAGACGAATAAGCAACAGCATACAATATACATTGAACATTTATTTGGGATAAACGTTAAATAAGGTGACACAGTTATGTAAGTTACATAAGGCAAATGAATTATACTTTTCTCACCATGTCAAACTTAATAAAAACAGCACTTTGCGTGAGAAGAAAAGCCTTGAATGTTAATTATATACAGTCCTTGAGATAAATCGTACAAATTCCAGTTAAATACCAGTCTCTATAAGAATCAGAAAAATAACACGTGGCATTATGATATGACCCCGTAAGACTTGGCTTGTGTAGAACTATGTCTAAATCTTATAAATTAAACCCTCAAAGTTGAACATTAATTAATTTATCTATAACAGAGCTTCAGATTTGAACTCCACCATGCTTTATTGAAAGTTTAAGTAGCAGAATCTGGTGAGACCTCACCTACAGGTTTTCACTGACGATTTTTAGTTAGTTATAGTTAGTTATAGTTAGTTAGTTTAGTTTTTAGTTATATCGATTCTTGGGTTGGAAAAAAAGGGAAATAAAAATTATGGAATTTTCTTTGATCTCGTTTAAGAAAACTTAGACTTATTGACAGCTTCAAAAAGAGGAGAGTTTGAACAAAAATACAAAATTTAGCTAATTATGAACTTCACTTGTTAAAGACCAGCGAGAGACAAAAAGAAAAAACTTATATTTTAAGCCAGGACATTGTTTATATAAAACACAATATTTTCATATTTATGCTATTTACAAAACGCTTAAATACGGGAAAATGATGATTGACGAGTTATTTTGAAATGCCGACTTGATTGTGTAACTTAAAAATCTCGTGAGAAAAAAGGGATACTTTTCTTTCATCCTCTTTAAAACACATATGCAGAACACACTCGAGGTCAGTTATTTGATTTAAATAACGCAAAAAAAAAAAAAAACAATCGATATAAGACCAACATTCATTAATGCAAAAATGTGACATGTCAACGATAGATTTAAACAGTGTGTTGTATTGGAAGTTTGACCCCACGAACGCGTGTAGAAAACGTAATCAGCTGTTGGCAGTTATCATTGACAACAAAGTTTGAACCACCTGTCTGATTCCCAGCCCGGAGAGGGCTAAAAAGGGGGTAAAATAATTGGGATCTTTAAATAACAAATCTGCTATTGACAACTATTTCTGATCGTTTTAAAAACACACTGGTATGTCAATGTGATTGTGTCTGTGCTTGTATGAGCGTAACTTTGATCACAGGTGTCACCATGTGTGCGTAGGCGTGTGCATGCTTACAATATCACAGACTTGCTTGAAGACGGCTTCTTGCTAATGTATTTAAGGACGTGAAGACTCGCCTTTCAACATTTATGGAATTTACATCCTTGTGTTGGGTTGGAAAAAGCAAGTTTTATCGTAATTGGTATAATCTAAAAAGAAATGATTTATTTCTGTCAGATTCAGCAACCACTACTTTTACCTTCCCTTTCTACTTTTCTAGCATGATCTAAAACAAAAATTAATCAATGATAAAAGTTATAGCCTTTTTTATCACATTGATTTGTGTTAATCTTATTCATCGCAACATACACGGCAAGACAAAAAATATTATTATCAAATTCTTCTAAAGAATTAAAAAGTCGAACCCCCTCAGCTCCCTCCACATCTATCTATTTAAGGGCCCCGTCCCAGACCATATCGTACTAAATGTGGATCGATCTATCCCCGAGGGGATTCTCGCTAACTTGCAATCAACTTGAGCGGCTTAGATGTACGTATGTCACACCTATTGAAGCTGCTAGGGGGTAATTAATCGTTTAGCAGCTTCAGTAGCCGTGCCAGACATCTAAGCCGCTTAGCTGAAAGCAATTTAGCGAGAAACCCTTCGGAGATGGATCGATCTTGATAGATCGATCTAGGTATGGGAACCCAGTCTTAGCCTAACACTGTGTCCCCGTTTCGAGTTCAGTACGTGTCACCTTAAATGATAATCAGGACATCGTGTCACCTTTCGTGACTTACACAGCTAGAATCCTGTCTAGAGCAGACGTGCCACTGAGACGCTATAGTCTCAGTTCAATTTTCCCCTGCTGGGTGTACGCGGCGAAGATGTGGTTCTTATTGCTGACCGCGGGTATAACGGTATCCGCGCTGGTAAGCCACAATTATACATTTATTTTATTCAAAGTAATATGTAATTTCCCTTAAACTACTGTATTTAGGTCTTTTTATCAACTAAAATAATTATTTTTCACAAGTATCCTATCCGGGTTTTTGAGAATAATCCCCTCTGAAAAGAGAAACAATTGTCCCTACTCATGAATCATTGCTCGGACAGTCCTTGCACTTAGATATTTTACACATATTCAAATGAAATATCTAAGCTCTTAATATATATAACTGAATCGAAGTTTTGACTGCCATGTCTTCATGCGCGTTTCAGAGAGAAATATCGACGTCAGTTACTTTTATTTGAAAGTTTTTTTATCGTTTATAAGATTTGAATTATACACATACTTGTAGAAGATATGACTTCGGTAAATTTTCAAATGCGTATAGTAAAACGCAAAAGTGATCTGTCTAAGTTTTAAAATATGACAATGCCGAAGAAACTAACTTATTTTTGTAATCCAGCAAATTGGTGCCGCAAAACACGGCACACGACAAGGTAATATGGTCGTAATGTTCAATGACGGAAAGTGGAGTTATGTCTGTATGAATGACGTCGTTGGCGCTGACGCACTCCCAAGAGAGCCTAGGATACCGTGCAGATGGATAGATGTCACTAGAGGCAACTACGAGACCTCCGCATTCAACGCCGATGACATAGATGAGCATAGCTTCCAACATGTCTTTGGACACAAAGAAGGAAAGAATAAGCACAAACGCGACAACAATAACCCACACCTTGCCAGGGGATATCCTGCAACCCAGCAACGTAAAACTCGTCACAAGTCGCCAAAAGAGCCAAAACCAAATCCTGATCCAAACGAAACTCAAACAGTTCCCCAGAACCCCTGTGACCCAAACCCGTGTCCCAGAGACGCCAAAGGTAATCCGGTGTATTGTCGTGTGAAATCTAAAGAGGGGACGTACGAATGTAGATTACCAAAAGGTAAGTGAGTGTTGAAGATGTTTTCGTGTTCTCAGTTTAGGCTTTTTTCTTTTAGGATTGCACATATTTTAACATGTTTCAAAGTACAAAAATGATACAGTTTCTTTATTATGTCCACTGTAAATTTGTAGGTCAATAGAAAGCAAAATCTTTGAATTGTTATTAACAATTTTAAAGCGCAACGCTTTGTTTCTTACAGACACGTGCGCTATAGATGGAGAACTCTTGAAACTGAACGAGAAGAGAGTAATTGGGTGCAAAACTTGTACGTGTCTTAATCCGGATATGAAAGAGCCGTTCTGTATTAATACGCACTCGTAAGCTCTCTCTCTCTCTCTCTCTCTCTCTCATCCAATTTTCTTCTCCCTCATTCTTTAAACCCATACCTTTACTCTCTCTCTTTCCCCCCTCTTTCTCTCTGGTGAGATTTTGCTGCCCAGGAGAAAGATCTTTTTCTCTCTCTGAAGAGAATAATCGACATCCCTAAAAATCATCAACATAGCTGTTAGGACAACCTCTTACTGTGTTATTGCTACTGGATTTTGCATTAAAGTCCACGTGAAAACATTTTGCAAAAAAAAAAATAATAATAAAAAAACATGCACACGCATTCAGTTCTCAGTTAATTACGCCACTCATCATTTAGAAATGTGAAATGAAACTTTGACAAATTTGACAAGGCGAGTTTCATTTAACTTCTTTAGTTATATGCATACTGTGGCCGCTCTCTATATGAAAGTATGCATGCATACTGTAAAGTAACGTACACTATTCCAGGTGTCAGATTTGGACCCTGGATATGATTCCACCTGGGTGTCAGCTTATCACACCTCCTGGGAAATGTTGTCAGGAACTCGACTGTAGCGGGTCTGGGGCAGCCACTGCTGTATCAACCGCGACAGTCCCTACGACGCCATCTATCGTCACGAGTACAATGGCTACGGCGTCATCTACCCTGGCTCCCATTAATCCATGTGATCCAAACCCGTGTCCCAGAGACGCCAAAGGCAACCCGGTATATTGCCGTGCTAAACCTAAATATGGGACGTACGAGTGTAGAATACCAAAGGGTAAGTGAACACTGAAAACAATATAGTTAACATAGGTTTTATTCTTATGGATAGACATCTGCTTGATTTGTCACCTGCTGTATGTACAAGTGCTTAGTTTTCTTTACCATCTTTCATTGCTAAAAATATTTTGAATTGTTGCACCTTTTTTTATGGTAAGAAAGGGTAAGAAATAATTTGCAATTTCAATAAAAAACAAAAGAAAGAAAATAAGGGAATAAAATCCCAAACACACAAGATAAAATGAAATAAAGAAAGCAATTGGTGTAAAAGTAATTGTGACCCAATGTGCTTTCAAATAGCTGCAAGAGGAATATATATATATATATATATATATATATATATATATATATATATATATATATATAAACAATGCTAAAGGTATCAAACATGACACTTCTTTCTGCTGTTTCTGCAATATAGCCAATGGATAATGCATGTACATATACAAATTCCATTGCTGAGTTCATAGAGTTTTTTCCTTCACAGACAAGTGTGTTGTGGATGGGGAACTCTTGGCACAAAACGAGAGCAGAGTAATTGGATGCATATCTTGTATCTGCCGTCTGCCAAAGCCAGTCTGTAGAAGCATTATGTAAATTATTCTCTCTCTCTCTCTCTCTCTTCCGAAAAGTTGTGACGCCGTACAAATAAACCAACTCAGCTGTTAACTATAATAGAATGAGTATTTTTTGTTTTTCCATCAGAATTGGCATTTAAAATGCATGCAGATCCAGATATCTGTAAAGTCGTCTTCTTGCAAAAGGGCACTAAAAGAATTGAAATAAAACATCTACAAGGTAACTTTCGTTAAGTGTGACATGCACATTATGACCCCTCTGTATGCACATTATGACCCCTCTGTATGCACATTATGACCCCTCTGTAAGTAAATTCTAAATATATAAAAAGACTAAAAAAGGAAATTATTCCAGTTGTCAGTTATGGACCCCGGATATGATTCCACCTGGGTGTCAGCTTATAACACTTCCTGGGAAATGCTGTCAGGAACTTGACTGTAGCGGGTCTGGAGCAGCCAATGCTGTGTCAACCAGGACAGTCCCTACGACGCCATCTATCGTCACGAGTACAATGGCTCCTAAGAATCCATGTGACCCAAACCCATGCCCCAAGGACCCTAAAGGCAACCCGGTACAATGTCATTTAAAACCTAAAGAGGGGACGTACGAGTGTAAAATGCCAAATGGTAAGTGAAATCTGAGAACAAATTACAGGTAGTTTCCATAGTTTTATTCTTATGGATATACAGGTACGTTTGTTTGAGTTAGTTGTCTACTTTTGTTCAATATTAGAGTCTATTGTCAGTTTTATTTACCATTTTTCGTTTTCTTGGAGATTTTGAATTGTGAACACTTTATAGAATTTAGGTATTAAAGAGTGTTAGTGAACTAGGGAAGATAATCACAGACATGCTACGAGACACAGAATAAAAATAAACATGGTTGTGAAAGAAAAATAGCTGGGTATTCTGCTTCTGAATACAAAACACACACACAAACACACACACACACACACGTATATATATATATATATATATATATATATATATATATATATATATATATATATATATATATATATATGATGTCAATATACATACTTGCGTCAAGTATGGCAATTCCCATTGCAGTTTATGCAGTACTAAACGTTACAGAATACATATACAAATCAGATTGTCGAAAATAAAGAAATCATTCCAGCTTCATTTCTTACAGACACGTGTATTGTTGATGGGTGGCTCTTGGCAGGGGACAAAAGGATGGTGATTGGGTGCAAGTCTTGTGTTTGCCGTCTTCCACACATCAAAGAGCCAGTCTGTAGTAGCATGTAAGTAACTTAACCCTCTCTATCTATGTCTCTCATTCAACCATAACCATTCCTTTCTCATAACTGTCTATTCTCTCTCTCTCTTGAAGCCCGTAAAAGTCAACCAACACAGCTGTAACTTAATAGAACGAAAATATTGTTATGCGAGCTTTCTATCAGTGTATTTAAAGGCCATGCGAAAGAATTATGAACATGCACGTGCATCCACATCTCAGTATCTCAAAGAAAGGATACTGAGACACTTCCAGAAATGTTAGTAAATGTTATAAATACCAACACCCATTTTCTGTTTAAGATGTAAGTCATGGACCCCAGACATGATCCCACCTGGGTGTCAGCTTATCACACCTCCTGGGAAATGTTGTCGGGAACTCGACTGTAGCGGGTCTGGGGCAGCCAATGCTGTGTCAACCAAGATAATCCCTACGGCGCCATCTATCGTCACGAGTACAATGGCTACGGCGCCATCTACCCTGGCTCCCATTAATCCATGTGACCCAAACCCGTGTCCCAGAGACGCCAAAGGCAAACCGGTATATTGCCGTGCGAAACCTAAAGATGGGACGTACGAGTGTAGAATAGGCCTACCAAAGGGTAAGTGAACACTGAAAACAATAAAGTTAACATAGGTTTTATTCTTATGGATAGACATCTGCTTGATTTGTCACCTGCTGTATGTACAAGTGCTTAGTTTTCTTTACCATATTTCATTGCTAAAAAATATTTTGAATTGTAGCACCTTTTTTATGGTAAGAAAGGGTAAGAAATAATTTGCAATTTCAGTAAAAACAAAAGAAAGAAAATAAGGGAATAAAATCAGAAACACACAATATAAAATGAAATAAAGACAGGCTGGGTATTCTGCTTCTGAATACAAAACAAACACACACACACACACACACACACACACACACACGTATATATATATGATGTCGACATACATACATGCATCAAGTACGACAAGTGAATACAGAAAAAATATAGTCAACATGGATTTAATTCTTATGGATATATATTTAATGTGTTGTCTGGTTTTTGTACACGTGTTCATTTTTCTGTTAACCGTTTTGTAGACGCTTCTTAGAGTTCAGAAAAATGCAATATTAATTAACACAAAATAAAGAAAATACGGGAAAAAACATCAAAGACACGCAAGATATATGAAATAAATATATAAATTGGTGTAAAAATTAATATGACGTTATCTACTTTTAAATCATTGCAAAATGCAAATAAAGTCTAAATTAAAAGGATACATGACATTTTTCCTGCAATTTTGGCAACATAGTCAACAAATGATGCATGTATGTATACAAATCACATTGATGATCCCATAGAGTTTTGCCTTTTACAGACACGTGTGTTGTGGATGGGCAACCTTTGGCACGAAACGAGATGAGAGTAATCGGGTGCAAGACTTGTATTTGTTTTGATCCGCGTGCCAAAGAGCCGTTCTGTTATGAAACGTATTCGTAAGTTCTCTCTCTCTCTCTCTCTCTCTCTCTCTCTATTATATATATATATATATATATATATATATATATAATTCTGTAACCGTCGCCTGTTCAAATATCCGACAGAACTTGATACTATTAGAAAGGATAATATTAACTCTTCTGTCCAAGTTTGCATTTAAAACCAAATCCATTCATTCCAGTTGTCCTCTGTGGACACCTGATAAGATACCATCTGGCTGCCAACCTGTCAGACAACCAGGGAAATGTTGCCAAGAACTTTATTGTAACCAACCAACCACAACCACTTAACCAACCACAACAAAACCCACCACCACAACTACACCAACCACATCCACAACAGAACCCACCACCGCACCCACACTAACCACATCCACAACAGAACCCACCACCGCACCCACACCATCCACAACCACAACAAAACCAATCACCA